GGTCAAGAATAAAATGCTCTCCACTGACCCAGTGGTTCCTTCCTTCAGCAGGTTCTAGAGGTTATGGATAATAATAATGATTTCGTCTATCCCTTATATAAATGGTAGTGCTTACTATGTGTCAGGCACACTCCTAGGCATTTACAGGTATTATTTTATTCAATCCTCATAATTATCCTATAAGGTACTTACTATTAATCCCATTGTACAGATAAAGAAACTGAGGGTCAGAGAGGTTAAATAACATACTCAATATCAATCAGTTAGCAAGTGACTGAGTCAGGATCTGAATCCAGGTGTTCTGGCCTTAGAGTTCTTATCTTGAATCACATTCCAAGGGTCCTAACCTTTGAATTCTTGCCCTCCCCTGCCCTGTACTCTGGGTGAATGATCAAAGTGGACCCTAAGTTTCACTGAATAGGCAAGGACCAGCAAAAGGATTTGGATCTGACCTGGTGGAAGGTGGTCCCCTCCAGCCGGACACCATCTCGAAACCATAGCAGCTCAGGGATGGGGCGGGCATCTCCATGGCTCTGACAGGTCAGATTTGCAGGAACTCCAACAACCAGAGACACAGAGGGGCCGCCCAGCACCTGGGGGGCTTCTGGGGGCACTGTATGGTAGATCTTAGATCAGAAGTGGATCCTGGGCCAAGAGACCCTCATCTTCTCAGCTCCAACCAACCACTTTCCTGGTCTTTCTGAATTCCAATACTCCTAGCTAGTACTGGCTGCAACCCTCGCCCCCAGCTCTTAAGGACAAGCAGGCTGGATCCTCACCCAGTACGTGCAGTTGGGCTGGTCGTGATCGAAGACCTGCTTGTGTAGCCTGACATTCATACGATGCTTCATCCTCTAGCTCCACTGGCCTAATGTGGAGGTCATGTTGGCCACTGGCTGCATTCCCAGATATCCAGTACCGAGACCACCCTGAAGTCAGGGAAAAGGCAGTCACACCATGGTTTGAGCTCTTGACCTCTGGTCTTCATCCCCAAACATACCACACCAAAAAATGGCCCACACATTCCATGGTTAGACACTTAAAAAGTATGCAGTAGACCCAGAGAAATAAACCCCATTCCCAATGCAGAGTCACTGAAATTGTGGGAGTGATAAAATCAGCAAGGAAAACAAGAAAATGATTGCTATAAACATAAGGTTAGAGTCTACTTCTGGGCTATGATAGTGGAAAGGAATAAGGGGCATTTGGGGGACCCAAGTTATTGGTTACATGACTGTCTATAATTATTTGACAGCTTGTCCATTTATGTTTACTGCACTTTTATAATATTTTACAGCAAAAAATAATAATCCCAAACTCTATGAGTCACCCCCAAAGAAGCATCTCAATAACCAGGACTCCCAGTGTTTACCTGATCCCATCAATTTCCCAAACTTGAAAACGTCATAATAGAAACTTCAGATACAGCCCAAGCCCAGTAGTCCCACTCTAGTTCTAGTGCTCCCTGAGTAGAGGACAGCCTCACCTGGCAGGTCCCTTTCTCCCCCTAGAGCCAGCCCATCCTTAGTCCACTGAACGAGACCCCTGTATGCGCCCAGAACACAGGGCAACCGGGCTTCCTCCCCCAGCAGCACCACCAGGTCCTCAGGCTGTTTCAGGAAATGGGGCGACCGGCCTAGGAGAATGGGGACAGCAGATCTGAGCTTAGCACATTAAAGAACTCCCTCACTCAGGACCCAGGGATCCAGTTCCCAACCTGCTCGCTCTTCGGATTCTGAAATCCAGCTTCCAGAATTCTCCTCCCTCAGACCCAGGAGTCCCAGCCCCAAAGCCGTTGTCGGCAAAAATCCTCCCCATTTTCGTCCGCTCCCGTCTTGGGTACCTGCACGCCCTCTAAAGCAGAAGAGGAGGACGAGGAGGGCGGGGACCAGCATCCTGAGTGTGTGTCCCCCAAGGTCCACAAGACTTGCTGTTGCACTGGCTTCGCTCCAATTTCCTTAGTTGCGGATCTCTCCTCAGCCTGGAGGGGAACCCCCCTTGCACCCTACTCTTCGCCCCAGACTGGAGGTCCCCTGCTTCTGGCCTGAAGTCCTCCAACTTTGCTCATCCGCAGCCTCTGAAGCTCTGAAGCGCCTGCGGGATCCGCGCGCTGGGTCTCTCGGAGACCCCAAGAGGGCCTGATCCCGCTGGCTCCGCCCCCGCCCGCCCCCTGGGAGAACCGCCCTCTTCCCATTGAGAAACTCCCGCGGTCTGGGCTCCGAGGAAACAGGCGCGGGGCGGGGGCGGGGGCAGCCTAATTGGGGTCTGGGAGCCGGAACACCTGGGTGCAAGAAGGGGGTCCTGCCTGGAGTGGACACCTGCGTCCTGCCGGCTTTGGGGAGAGTCCTGGGAGCGGGTGGTGAGGAGGAGGAGGAGCAGGAGCAGGAGGAGAAAAGGCAAAGAGTGGAAGAAACTTGCTCAGCCCGGGTCCTGCAGGGACTGTGATGAGTGGAAACCGAGCTATAAACGGGAGCCCCTGGGGCCTCGCCAGTTTCCGCGCCCTGGGGAGGCGGGGCCCAGGACTCTCGTGGGTCTTCGGGTCGCGGAGAGGGCACCCGGGTGCGGGAGGGTCAGCTGGGACCCCTAAGAAAGGGGCTTCGGCTCCCCACATCACACAACTCCTCAAAAATATCGCTCTGCTGCCTTGTTATTGCTGCAAACCGTAGCACACTCTAAAACCCAGGAGTCCAGGCCTCCAGTCTCTCCTTTCCCAAGACCCCGCAGTCCGGGCCCAGCCCCTCTCCCCATTCCGCGGGGGCCGGGCCCCTGGGCCTTGGTTGCCAGGCGACGGCTGGGAGGCGGCGGTGCCCGGGATGGGACAGGCGGGGAGGCTGGGAACTGCGCAGCTTGTACTGACGGCTCCATGAAGCCCAGCTGGGGCGTTCCCACGCTGCGCAGCTGGCCGAGCAGGTGGGAGGAACCCTGAGCTTATTGCGGGGGGCTAGGGTCTGGAGAGGTGGGACCCCGGATCTGACATCTGTGGACCTGTAGGGATTGAGGTCCACATTGAGATTCTCAGTTGCTCCTGGGCTCTTAGACTCCAGCCTCCCTAAATGGCAGGGGCTTGGATTTCCAGGACTGTAGGGACTGGTGGTCGAGATCTCTGATGACCTGAACTCCCGGTGCTTTGAGGCAAGCAGCATGGTGCAATTGGGTGATGATCAAATATCTGGTCTTAAGTCTTAGAATCAGTGGATTTAACCACAGTCTCTCTCCCATCCCCATACGGACCCAGGAGGATTTGAAAAGCTACAGACAGAAACATCTGTCCGAAGTCCCGTGGGGGGAGGGAGGCGGTAGGATTGGAGACCTGAACTCCTGGGTCCTTGGAGAGAGGGGCTGGGAGCCTGAACTGCTGGGTCCAAGAGAGGAGGGTCCTGGGGGCCCAGACTCCTAATTCTGGGGGCATGAATTCCTGGCTTCATGGTTGTGGATCCAGGGCATGGATGTTGAATTAGGATAGGCTCAGATCTAGGACTCCTGAGTCTTGGGGAGGAAGTCAGGTGATGAGACTGTTTTTCCAGACACCTGACATCGCTTCCCCTTCCTGGCTCTCTGGGGTCATAGGCATGGAAAAATGGAGAGCCTGAGGTCCCTGGAGCATGCAGAGAAGGAAAACAGCCAAGGTGGAAGGTAGAAGATTTGTGCTAATTAAAGGTCCCAGCAACTGACAGCTCTGCACCCTGACCTCCAGGGACACCATCTGGTGAGGGCCTCAGACAGACCCTCCCAGGTCTGCATCCAGCCCAATTCCCAGGAGGTGTGGGGGGCAGTTGGGAAAGGGAGTGTGGGAGGAGGGCAAGGAGTCAATAATGGAAAGCAGGGGAGAAAAACCACAGGGTGCATCAAGGGTGGAGCTGCCCCAGCTCAGGCCAGATGCCTTGCCTTGTTCCTGGAGGAGGATCAGATAGGGGGTCACAGGGAGGGGGAAGAAACATGAACCGTTGTAATTCCTGCAAGAGATAAGCAGACAGAAGGAGCTTATCCCATGCGAGTGTGTATGTACACACTGGGGTGGGGAGGGCGGGCCAGTTAGCATATGGTTATAAAATTCAGGGATGTGAGAATCAGGACTCAGAGCTGGAGAAACTAATAAGAGAAAGAGGCACAGGCAGGAAGATTCACTGAGAACAAATATTTATTGAGTTCCTGAGGTATGAGAAACTGAATGTGAGGTAGGAGCAGCGAGAGCTGAGAACAGAGACAGAAAAAAAATTTTAAAAAAATAAACAGGCTTAGAAAGACAGTGGAATAGTTAATAAAAGGTTGACTGAGATTTAACTATGAGAGAGAGAGAGAAAGAGAGAGACGTTTCAAAGAGATAAAGATAAATCATGATGGATAAAGAAAGGGACTAAGACACACAGGGAAGGGAGGAAGAGATGGGGGAATGGTAGGAATGGAGACAGAAAGAAGTTCACGGCGTCTTTGCTAAAGGTCATCCACACTAAAGGCTGGCAGATTTGGACTCATCTTTTCCTTGCACTGTTCTGACTGTCCTGAACCCTACACACTCACACAAAAGACACTCTGACCCAGTCACACACTCGGCACACACCTTCACAAATCACAATTCACTCTTGGCTTCCTTCCTCTCACACACATGCTCACACATACAGGCATGCTCTCACACCCTCATGCACACACAGGTAACTTCCCTCTCTCCCACACTCTCCCAGTTTCACATACACTTTTGTACACTCCCCAGCAGAGATCCCATATGCACTGAGGGGCTGATTGTCTACTCAGGAAAGGATGGGACTTGCCAAGGTCATGCTCTGGACAGGGAAGAGCTGGCCCAGCTCTCTACTCCCTAAGCTGAACTAGGAGATGACCCATGTCTGGTCTGCTCTCCCAGGCCCTTGGGGTTATGGGAGCTGGGGAGGCACCGAGGAATGTGCCTGGCATGTGCTGACAGGGGATTTCATGGTCCAGCTGGGCCAGGAGGAGCCTGCTGGGTGGAGGCTGGAGTCGGAGACTCAGGAGTGGCTTGGCTCTGCCACTGACTGCCTCTTTGCTCTCCTGGGCTGATGGGGCTCACTGGATTCTGAGCAGCAAGTCTTTTTTTTTTTTTTGTGGGACTGTGAGTGGTGGAAGAGGGTGAAGGGGCAGGGGGTAGCAGGAGAGAAGAGAAACAGACTGTCAAGGAGATGGATGGACAGATGGATGGATAGATAGATAGATTGAGGTGGAAAGACAGGCCAAGGGTGGTGGTGGGGGGATTCAGAGAGTTGCTCAGAGAGAAAGAGCCTGAGACAGGGAGAGAAAGAGACAGAGACTCAGACAGAGAGACTGGGACAGAGGGAGAATGAGATGGAGATAAAGAGACACTCCCAGAGAGAGGAAAATGGAGAGAGTTGGAAAAAGAGACAAAAAGAGAACAAGAGACAAAGACACAGAGAGAGGGAGTCAGAGAAAGGTAGTGACAGACATACGTGGCAGTCAATGGGCACTGTGGGAGCCATGGCCAGAGGAACTGGAATGGCCCTGAGGACACCCATCAGGGCTCCCTTGATGCTCATGGGGCTGCTGACCACAGGTGAGTGGGACACTGGCTCTGTACCCAGTGCCAAATGGCCTTCATTTCCCACCTTTTAGACAAACCTCTGCCCTTTCTTGCTGATCCTTTTGTGTCTCCAGGCCTGGCTCAGTTGCCAATCCCTGCCTCAGCCCCTCGTGGTTTCTGGGCCCTGTCTGAAAACCTGACGGCTGTGGAGGGGGCCACAGTTGAGCTGCGGTGCGGGGTCACTGCCCCTGGCAGTGTGGTACAATGGGCCAAGGATGGGCTACTCCTAGGCCCCCACCCTGGGATCCCGGGCTTCCCGAGGTACCGCCTCAAAGGAGATCCTGCTAGAGGTGAGAGATCAGAGCCTGAGACTCTGAGCCACCAGCAGAGGCTGTGGTCTTGACCCTGTGGGCCTCTTCTGCAGGTGAATTCCACCTGAACATTGAGGCATGTGACCTGAGCGATGACGCCGAGTATGAGTGCCAGGTCAGCCGCTCAGAGATGGGCCCCGAGCTCGTGTCTCCCAGAGTCATCCTCTCCATCCTGGGTATGGGTGAGAGACCCCCAGGACCCTCAAGTCTGGGCTTCTAGTCCTCTTTTCCTCTAGGATGTGGGAGCTGATGGTCCCAGATCCTCCTCCCCCAGATCCTGGGTACAGAACTCATTTCCGGAGCAAGGAGACTTGGCCCACATCCTCCTGTCCTTCTCAGTGGTGGAGGCTGATTCTACATCCTTTCTCATCAGTTCCCCCCAAGGTGCTTCAGCTGACCCCTGAGGCAGGGAGCACAGTCACCTGGGTAGCTGGGCAGGAGTATACGGTCAGCTGTGTGTCTGGGGATGCAAAGCCAGCACCTGATATCGCCTTTCTCCAAAGTGAGTGTGGGTGAATTGGTGGGGACAGTGTGATGCCCCTAGAGTAGGGAGTCTGTGTGTTATGCCTTCCTGGGGGCCCAGAAAATATAACCGAGATAGGACCCTGGAGTAGGCAAGGGGAGAAGCTGAGGCTTCTTTCTTTTGAGAATGGGATGCACTGGGTGGGAGGGGACACCCGGGGAGGCATCCAGGAGACCACAGGAATGCTGGTCGGGGGCCTGGAAGAAGCCAAGGTTCAGGCAAGATGTGGGCAGGGAGGGTGGCACAGGAATGAAAAGCTGAGGTGATACCAACAGAAGGAAGAGGCCCAGGACCTGAGAACTCCAGTCATTTGGGAAAATTCCAGGGAACAGAAGTGAGGGAGTCCTAAGTCTTACAGGACAACAGGAATTTCCAGGGGACAAAGCTGGCACCTCAGGTTCTTTTCCTCCAGAACCAGGAGGAAGGAGGCATCATGACCACCCCAGAATCTACTGTGGGGAGTGCCCAGCACCCCCTGCAGCCCTCTTGTTGCCCCAAGGTGGACAAACAATATCTGATGTTTCTGCTAACGTGAACGAGGGGTCCCAGGAGAAACTCTTCATGACAGAGGCCACAGCCAGGTATGCCAGTTGGGGGTATCCTGTCTTCCTGTTTCCCCGTAAGAGCTCCATATCCCAGGTATTCAGGCTGGAAACTCAGGCTGAGTATGAACATCCGGGACTCAATTTTTTACTCAACACCCAAAACTTCTTCAAGGGAACCCCAGTTTCAGGATATTAAGTATAAACATTTGGAGCCAGTATGGCCCCCTGAAGCCCTAATTCTTATTGCTAAAGCCCAAAATCCTTCCCATGGGACTCCAGATCTTAGAGGAAATCAGTATGGAGACTTAGACTAGGTGTGGAGGCCTGGGACTCCCACTTCATCAATTTCAGAAGATGACTCTGACTCCAGAATTCCAACTTCCCATCCCAGGGTGACACCCCAGAGCTCGGATAATGGGCAGTTACTAGTCTGTGAGGCATCCAGCCCAGCTTTGGACACTCCCATCAAGGCTTCCATCACCATGAATGTTCTGTGTAAGTGGAGAACTGACTCGGTTGTGGGCCCGGAGGATGGGAGGCAGGATTGGGGGTCTTAGGGGATTGCAAGAATTATGGGAAATTCAGTCATGCCAAAGAGAAACGTGGGAATTCAGAGTCTGGCTATGGAGACTAGAAAGAATGAATGGACTCCCCAGGCCTACTGAGTGGCTATTGCTCCCCAGTCCCCCCAGGACCCCCTGTCATCCAGTGGCCAGGCCTGGAAGAAGGGCACGTGAGGGCAGGGCAGAGCCTGGAGCTGCCGTGCACGGCTCGAGGGGGAAATCCGCCAGCCACACTACAGTGGCTGAAGGTGAGGGCAAAGGCCAACATGGAAGGCTTGGGGGTGGCCAGATCCAGGAACGGGCTCTGAGCTGCTCTAGGTCTGACCCTATCTCCAGAATGGCCAGCCTGTGTCCACAGCGTGGGGCACAGAGCATGTTCAGGCAGTGGCCCGCAGTGTGCTGGTGATGACCGTGCAGCCAGAAGACCACGGAGCGAGGCTCAGCTGTGAAGCCTACAACAGCGTATCTACAGGGACCCAGGAACAAAGCATCACGCTACAGGTCACCTGTGAGTCCTGGTGCTAGCTGTCTGTCAGCCCGTGTCCCCACATCATGCTTATCCATTGCCATTTGGGTCCCATCTCCTTGTCTGTCTAGGCTGGTCTGTGAGGAACCCAGTTCAGTCCAGGGTCTTTCTCTGTCCATCTGTCCCGCAGTTCCCCCCAGTGCCATTACCATCCTGGGATCTGCGTCACAGACTGAGAACAAGAATGTGACACTGTGCTGTATCGCCAAGTCCAGTCGCCCTCGGGTCCTGCTGCAGTGGTGGCTGGGGGGGCGGCAGCTGCTTCCTACGGATGAAACAGTCATGGATGTGAGGAGGGGGCTGAGCCAGGCGGGGGGCTGAGGGCACAACTTCTGGAGTGGGGACAAGAAGGCTTGGAGGCCTTGGTCCTTGAGAATAGTGGCCTGGGGCCCCCTGAATCCTGCATCTGATGTGCCCCTGCTGGGGTCTGGGGTAGGCCCAGGCCTCTGGTACCATGGGTGGGGATGTTTTAGTCCCCAAGTCCCAAATCTCATTTTCTGCTAGGGCCTGCATGGTGGCCACATCTCCATGTCTAATCTGACATTCCTGGTGCGGCGGGAAGACAATGGCCTGACCCTCACCTGCGAGGCCTTCAGTGAGGCCTTCACCAAGGAAACTTTCAAGAAGTCGATCACCTTGAATGTGAAATGTGAGTCCCTATCCTGATCCAGGAATGCCACCAGGCCCCACAGATCCCACCCTGAGGCCCCAGCCCAGAGGCAAAGTCACCCTCCAGCCTCTCCCTACAGATCCTGCCCAGAAGCTGTGGATTGAGGGACCAGCACAGGGGAAGTATCTCAGGACTGGGACACGGGTGAGGCTGGTGTGTTTGGCCATTGGGGGCAACCCAGACCCCTCCCTCATCTGGTACAAGGTCAGTGCTGGCATGGGTTGTCGGGTGACCAGGAATTTGGGGAAGGATGAGGACACTCCTCTCCTTCAGAATCTTTGGAGATCTTGGAAAAACCTTAATTTCTTGAAAAATACTGGAGATTCTGAATTTTGTTAGGGAATTGTAAGAGAAAAAAAATGTCATGAGAATTATATGGAATCTTAAGGAAAATTCTGGGAATTCTGGAAAAACAATTCCAGGATAAAAGAAGGAATTCTGAATCAAGATTGGGAATTCTAGAGATAAAGGCAATTAATTCCATTAAAGTTAAAAGAAATTCTGGTGAAAAGTTCAATTCAGGGAAAATGTCAAGAATTTTAGGGAAAAACCAGGAATTCAAAAAACAAAAACAAACAAACAAAATGACAATGATATTTTGGGCAAAGGCTAGATATTTTGGGGAAAAGACTAGTGATTTCACAGAACATTGAAAATCCTTTAATATTAAATTGAATTCTTGAGATATATAGGTAAGAAAATAAAGTTCCATTAAAATTAAAGGAAATGGGATAGAATTCTGGGAAAATTCTAGCAAGTTAGGGAGCTACTGTAAATTCTGGAGAAAAGACTAGGAATTATAGGCTGGCAACAGGATTCCATTTTAATTGAATGGAATTCTGGGGAAATACCAAGAATTGGGGCAACACATAGGATTCTAGTGATCAGGATAATAAGGGAATATTGAGAAAAAAGATCAGAACTCTGCAGAAGTCACTGGAATTAAGCGAAAGGTCAAAAGGAGTGGGAATGTTAAGTAAAAGAACTGAGGATAGGAAAAAGGGAAGGAAGTTCTGCCAAAGATTTGGGAATTTCAAGGAAATTTCTGGTTCATAGTGTGATTAATATTGAAGAAATAGAATTTGAGGAGTAGGGCAGAGGGTCCTGGGGGACTGGGAAGGTGGAGCGAGGCAGGAGGCGAGATCTCAGGGGGCTCAGGGAAAGAGGAAGAGACTCGGGGTTAGGGGTTCTGAATTCCTGGTCCACTTCTTACTCTAGCGGGATGCCAGTTGATGGGAATGCCTTTTCCTTATCACACAAAGGACTTGTCTGGTCTGGCAATGACCAATCCAATAGGGTCGTCTCAGGACTGGGTGGGGAAGGGCAGGGCTACCTGCGGTCCCCAGCCAGCCCCGGTCCTCAGAACTCCCGCGTCGTGACGGAGCAGCGGCTGCAGCAGGAGTCCCGGCGGGTGCACCTGGGAAGTACCGAGAAGTCTGGGAGCACCTTCTCCCGCGAACTGGTGCTGGTCGCAGGTCCGTCGGACAATCAGGCCAGGTTCTCGTGCAAGGCGGGCCAGCTTATGGTGTCCACGCAGCTGGTGGTGCAGTGTGAGGATGCCAAAGGACGGGACGGGTGGAGGGTTTGGCTGGCGCGGGGTACAGACTACACAGCCAGGCCGGAGTGTTTGGACTCCCAAACACCAAGTGGTGGGCGGGGCCGGGCTGGGGACTGCAGACTGGGAGGGGTCTGGGGGTCAAGATGCTGTGAAAATAGGCCAGGGGTCTCCTGACTCAGCCTCGCTCCTCTGACCCGCTAAGTTCCTCCGACTAATTTGACGATCCTGGCCAACGTGTCTGCGCTGCGCCCAGGGGACGCCTTAAACTTGACGTGTGTCAGCATTAGCAGCAACCCACCAGTCAACTTGTCCTGGGACAAGGAGGGGGAGAGGTGAGAGTGTGAGGCTCCGCCCCTCCAAGGTTCGGTTCACACCCAATCCGTTCTGGTCCCACCCGAGATTGTTGGGCCCTAGAGACTGTTGGAGCAATAGCCCTCCAATCTCTAGTTTTGGTCCCACCCTCGCACCAGCCCTGGATGACCCAACTGTCTGCGGTGTGCACAGGCTGGAAGACGTGGCCGCACCTCCCCAGAGCGCCCCGTTCAAAGGCTCTGCTGCGTCCAGGAGCGTTTTTCTTCAAGTGTCATCCCGCGACCACGGCCACCGTGTCACCTGCCGCGCCCACAGTGCGGAGCTCCGCGAAACCGTGAGCTCCTTCTACCGGCTCAATGTGCTGTGTACGTGGATTGGTCTGTAACTCTTGATCCCCTCCTGACCCTAAACTACTCCAGTCTTCACCTTGACACTGTCCTTAGCCACTACCCCAATCCTGTTACTTTCCTACCTTTATCCTGATCCATGCCCCAACTCGTATTTGCCCCAACCCCTAACCCCTATCCTGACCCCTTTCTCCTTCCTTAAGCCTAACGTTGGTTCTATACTTTTCCTAAACTGAATTTTAACTTCTATCCTGTTACCTCTCCCCAACCCTAGTCCTTCCTTACTCCGACTTTAACCCTTAGACCTGTGCCTGATCTCAATTCATTCCTGACCCCGACTTTAACAACACTCTTGACTCCCTGCGGCTTTCCCTCTGAAGACCGTCCAGAGTTCCTGGGGGAGCAGGAGCTCGTGGTAACCGCGGTGGAGCAGGGCCAGGCACTGCTGCCTGTGTTGGTATCCGCTAACCCCGCTCCGGAGGCCTTCAACTGGACCTTCCGCGGCTATCGCCTCAGCCCAGGTGCGGGAAGGGGACACACAGCGGGGTGTGGGTTCCTGGTGATGGGAGGGTCTGCCACGCCCCTTACCCTGACTTTCCCCAGCTGGCGGTCCCCGGCACCGCATCCTGCCTGGTGGGGCTCTGCAGCTATGGAACGTGACACGTGCGGACGATGGCTTCTACCAGTTGCACTGCCAGAACTCAGAGGGCACCGCTGAAGCCCTAGTGCGGCTGGATGTGCATTGTGAGCCCCGCCCCGATCACTCCAGGAAATTAGGGTCTCTGGGAACCCTGCCTACCATTGGGGACTTTGGGACCCACTGTGGAGTCTCCTCATTGCAGAAGCTCTACCCACTTAGGGACAACCACCCATCCTAGAATCCTCCCATTCTGGAAGTCCTTTCACTTCTCTTGTGGAATCTGTGCCCACTAAAAAGACCCAGTGTGGAATCTCTACCCAGAGAGGCGGACCACCTAAAAGGGAGCTACTCCCTTCAGGGAGCCAAGCCCACTGTAAAGTCTCACTCTTCAAGTACATCACATAGATGGCAAACTCTCCACACACTTAGCTTTCCAGGTCACCTCTAAGACATGCCTCTTGTCTGGAGCACTCTCCCACCATGATCTATCTGGGCCCAAGTGCCTTTCCCAACCCCCTATCTCCCACCAGATGCTCCCACCATCCGTGCCCTCCAGGACCCTACCGAGGTGAATGTCGGGGGTTCTGTGGACATCGTCTGCACTGCTGATGCCAATCCCATCCTCCCAGAGATGTTTAACTGGGAGAGGCTGGTGAGGACCCAGCCTTCAGTGAATGGAGATGGGGCAGGGGGCTGTGCTTTCATAACTGTGAGATCCTCGGGAATGAAGTCCACATCCTTGTGATTGTATAACTAGAGATTCATCAGGGCATACTCCAAGAATGAGTAACTGTTAGTCAAACAGTAGAGGGATGGGTGGATGAGTGGATTTATAGTTAGGTGAGTGGGTTGGTGGATGGATAGATGGGTGGATGAATGAGTGGATGGGTGACTAGATGATGGAATGAGAGACATTAGTGGACAGATTAGTGTATATGGTAGATGGATGCATCATTAGTGGAAAGATGTATATGGAATGATGAATCGATGTATGGATTGACAGTGGAGAGATGAATAAATAGATAGCTGGATATATGGGTGAATGGTTGTATGTATTTATGAATGTGTGCACATATGAGTGAATAAATGTGCTTTAAAAAGCAGCAAGGATGGATAGATGGGTGCATAGGTAGAAGACAAACGTTGGTTTCATGAATGAGTGGGTAAGTAGATCCAAGTATAAGTGGATGAATGGGTGGCTAGATAGTTAAATGAATGGATGGATTGATGTGTGGGTGGAAGGATGCTTCCAGGCATGTGTAGTAAGATAAATGGGTGGGTGAGTGGTTGGTTGGATTGGTGCTTGAATGAATGGATTGAATAAATGTTTGGATGGATTATAAGAGAAATTTTCATTCAATAGCTTTGTGGAGAGTAGTTGTGAGTGGGAGAATGACTTTACAGATGGGACACAGTTTGGGTGATGATGGATTTGGGGCTAAACTGGAGGACAACCCTCTGAGTCCTGGGTCCCCAGGGAGAAGAGGAAGAGGAGGACCATAGCCTAGATGACATGGAGAAGATATCAAAAGGATCCACAGGACGCCTGCGGATTCACCATGCCAAGCTGACGCAGGCTGGTGCTTACCAGTGCATTGTGGACAATGGAGTGGCACCTCCTGCCCGGGGGCTGGTCCGTCTTGTAGTCAGATGTGGGTAACATTAAACTTTTGACTTTAAAAGTCTGCCACTAAACTCACCGCACTTGTGTCCTCCCACGTACCTCATGTTGATCCCCCAACCCATCCTAGTTGCCCCCCAGGTGGAACATCCTACTCCCCTAACTAAAGTGGCTGCAGCTGGAGACAGCACCAGTTCTGCTACCCTCCACTGCCGTGCCCGAGGCGTCCCAAACATCATCTTCACTTGGTCCAAAAATGGGGTTCCTTTGGATCTCCAAGATCCCAGGTGAGCCAGGCCTGCCAGGAAGTGGTCCAGCCCAAACTCTGGTCCCAGCCCCTGAATCCCTGCCTCGCTGTCTTTCCAGGTACACGGAGCACACCTATCACCAGGGTGGGGTCCACAGCAGTCTCCTGACCATTGCCAATGTGTCTGCAGCCCAGGATTACGCCCTCTTCACGTGCACAGCCACCAACCCCCTTGGCTCAGACCACACCAACATTCAGCTCGTCAGCATTAGTATGATGGGAGGGGGCTGGGAGGGGTCAGGGGGATGCTTCTTGGGTCAACTCCCAAGTCCCTAGTTGGCAGTGTTGCTGACACCTGAAAGGTGTGTATGAGTGAGGATGGAGTCTCTGACAGCCCTGAATTTCCTAATGGGAGACTAGATCTTCAGGGAAACCCACAACAAAGACAAACAGATTAAAATGAGTTGGGAAGACTTATTGGGTCAAGTAACTGAAAAGAGGATTTTTCAGGAGTTGCTGGATCTAGGGCCAGCTCTTAGGTCTGCTTTTCTCTGTCTTGCCTTTAATTCTAAAGCTCCTCCTGGTGGGCTTTTAGAATTCCCAGAGGAAATAGAATTCTTTCTCCTCTGAACACTTATATGGAAAAACTAGAATGAAATATCATTGGCTCTGCTTGGATTCCAGCTCATCCCCAAATCAATCATCTGATGGAAGGGGCAACCCTCTAATTGGTCAGGCCTGGTCACATGTCCATCTTCCTAGGAGTGGAGTCACTTCCATCAGAAGAATGTGACCTGAGAATGTGAGAGGGTGGTTCTCCAAAGGGAAATTCAGGGTGTTGGAACTGTAAGCAATGAGAATGGATGTGAGGTTGGCATAAAAAACCCACTGAAAGGAACATGTATGTACATGTGTATGTATGTGTGTGTGTGTATATAACATATATGCATATGTTTATATATATATATATATATATATATATATATATATATATATATATATATATATTCATCTACTTGCTAAAATGTATTTGTAATCTCCAAAGCAATACTCATGGTACTTTGTGGTCACTCAAGGACATATACAGAGTGATGCAAAATTTGAGTCACCTGCTGTGCGTGTTCCTAGCTGAGACTGAACAAGATGACACTCCACATCTTGTTCCAGCTCTTATACTGTAAATAAGTGTGGTTTATTTAGTGTCACTTTAAAAAAACTTTTTGTGCTTTGGGTTGGTGATTTTGTCATTTAAAATGCCCACCAAGCACAAAGCTGAAATGCTGTCCACTATTTCTAAGTGCAAGATGGCTGTGATAGAAAAAAATACTTGTGCTCTGGATAAGTTTGTTCCTGGAGTGAGAGTGCTTTTGGCCACGTACTAGTGGTGAATCCCAGTACGTGTTGCATAAGGCACCTTTAACAGGAACACGCCTAAACAAGATCCTATATTCATTGGTTGATGAAAATGCTGTGACAAGAGGTTTGAAGAAAACTAACCCTGAGTTTCCTTTACAAGCAACAGTTTAGTATTTTCCAGCTTAGTGTTCACAGTGAACTTATTGAACGTAATGACCATGAATAATGAAATTAACTGTAATTTAGAATTATTATTAGGAAAAAACTGAAAGGAATCTTCTAGAATCCTATTTTCCCCATCCTTCTTTCCAAAGGCCGTCCTGACCCCCCACTGGGATTCAAGGTCATAAGCATGACCCCTCACTCAGTGGGGCTGGAGTGGAAGCCCGGCTTTGATGGGGGCTTGCCACAGAGGTTCCGTATCAGGTGGGTCCTTGTCAAGGCAAGTAAGGTGTGGCAGCCAGTGGGCTGGTCATTTTCCTGAACTTACTGGCCTCTCTGTCCTACAGGTATGAGGCCCTGGAGACTCCAGGATTTCTCTACATGGATGTCATACCACCCCAGGCCACCACCTTCACATTGACTGGACTGAAGCCTTCTACACGATATAGGGTCTGGCTGCTGGCCAGCAATGCCCTGGGGGACAGTGGCTTAGCTGAAAAGGGAGTACAACTCTCCATCACTACCCCAGGTGGGAAGGACAGTCTTGGGCAGGTTGGAAAGTTCCTCAGAGGACTTAGAGGGTGGTGTAGTGAAATGGATACTAGTGTTATTCCCCTTTTACAGAGAAGTTAAGCAAATCAACCAAGGTCACACAGTTAGGAAGAGGTGGAGATGAGATTGAAATCTCAGGCAGATGAGCTCCATAGATCTACCTGTACTATCTTGGTGTGATTACTGACAAGAGGAAATTAGAAAATAGTTTGAATTGAATAAAAATGAAAACAAAAAATTTGGGGGGCAGCTAAAGTAGTGCTAAGAGGAAATTGGATGGCATTAAAATTTTATATTAGTTTTTTTATTTTAAAAAAAGTCTTCAAATAGGCATTTTACATTTCCATTGTAAGAAACTTGAAAAAGAAGAGCAAACTAAACCCAAAGAAAATGGAAGGAAGTTAAGAGAAGAAATTAATGAATGAGAAAACAGAAAAAATAAAGGAAAAAAATCAATGAAACAGAAAGCTCATTCTTTGAAAAGATCGATGAAATGTGTAAAACTGGGACCTGGGCTGTGGCCTAGCATATGTGAGGCACTAGGTTCCATCCCAGGCATCACATAAAAATAAACAAATAAAATAAAGGTATTGTGTCCATCTACAGCTAAAAAATTTTTTTAAAAAAGAAATGTGTAAAACTGATCAAGACAAAAAAGAGAGAAGACATAACTTCCAAAAATATCAGGAAAGCCAGAAGAGACATTATTACTGACCCTACGGACACAAAAAAGATATGCAGGAATATTCTGAATAACCTTAGACCAACACATTCAGTGACTTTGATGAAAGGGACAAATTCCTTGAAAATGTCTAAGAAGTATCTTATGATTCTGACAGGCCCCGTGGTTAATCCCACAGGGTCTGGCTCAGAAAAACCTGGGTTCAAGCCCCCACCTCCCCTGCCACTTCCTAGTTTTGTGAACTTAGGCAGGTGCCTCAGTTTCTAAAAATAAGGTTTCACACCAGGTGTGGTAGCGCACGCCTGTAATCCCAGCAGCTAGGAAAACTGAGACAGGAGGATCTCGAGTTCAAAGCCAGCCTCAGCAACAGCAAGGCGCTAAGCAATTCAGTGAGACCTTGTCTAGAAATAAAATATGAAATAGGGCTCAGGATGTGGGTCCTGAGAGCCCAATATCTTTTTAGGGGGACGGGGAGGGTTAAGTCAGCAAATTGATAATTCAGGTTAAAGGACTTTGTACAACATAAAGCACTCATTTATCATTTATTATTATTATTATTATTATTGATATTCCTATTGTTATTAGTGTGTTGTCATTAGTATCAGAAATACTTGGCTATCTTTAGAATACCCCTAAGAAATCATGTTCCCATTCCAACAAGTTTCAAAGTGAGGTGAAAAGCTTAGTCAGAAACTGAGAAATACATAATCATCTCAAATTTTTGTTATTAATGCATAATCTCTATATTCACCCCCTACCCCAGGCCTGGACCAGCCTTCTGGAGAACCTGACCATGAGGAACCCACAGAGCAGCCTGCAGGCAAGTGCTCAATCCCCTGAATCCTGCCCCCTCCCCTGAGAATGGAACCTTTTGACCCCATCTCCTCTCCCTTGTGGTCACAACTGCTCTGTCCCTAAAGATTCCCACTTGCATCTGAAGCTCTTCCTGTACTGGAGTGATCGATTTTTTTTCTCTTCCTAATTTAGTTTAATTGTAAAAGAATTAGCTGATTCTGAGCTCTGTAAGGAGGTTGAGTCAGGTAGTTTTAGCTGCATATCAAACTACCACCCAAACATGGGCACTTATGGCAACATACGTCATTACCCATGACTCCTTGAGTCTGGGAAAGGGTTCTGATCTAGGCGGGTTTGAGTCATCTCTACAATCAGCTGGCAGCGGGACTGAGAATTGTCCATATAGGATGGCCTCCATGTTAGTCAGCTTTTTGTCACTGTAACAAAACGTCTGAGAAAAACAACTTCAAGGGGGAAAGATTTATTTTAGCTCAGTTTTCAGTCTGTGTTCAGCTGGCTCATTGCTTTGGACCCGAGGTGAGGCAGAACATCATGGTGGAAGGGTGTGTCAGAGCAAAGCTGCTCACCTCGTGGCAGCCAGGAAGCAAAGAGAGAAAGAGCCAGCTGTGGGAAGAGAGGAAAGAGCCAGGGACAAGACAGAGGCCCCAAGGATCCTCTTCCTTCAACTCGGCCCCGTATCCTGCAGTTGCCGTCACCTCCCAATAGTCCAGTTAGCTAAGGATCCAACAGTGGATTAATCTATTGATTAGGTTAGAGCCCCCATGATTGGATCTCTTCCTCAAAGTGCCCCCCACATTGCTGCATTGGGGATGAAGCCTGCAGCACATGAGCCTTCGGGGACACTTCATATTCAAACCAAAGAGCATCCTTCTCTTCACATGTCTGGCAGTCATCTGGCTGTTGATTGGGACATTGGAAATAACTGGGTCACATGTCTCTCCCTGTCATATTCACAGGGAGGTGGTCCTAGGGGTCCCAAGAACAGAAAGAGAAGAAAAACTAATTTACTAGCATTTTTCAAGTTTCTGATTCTGTCACATTGTTTTGTCTCATTGGCTCCAGCAGAGTTGGGTGGAAGGGGGATTATGCAACAGTGTAGAAACAGCTGGACATGGTGATACAGGCCTGTAATCCCAGGGACTCGGGAAGAAGAGGCAGGAGGGTTCCAAGTTTGAGGCCAGCCTCAGAAATTTAGTGAGGCCCTAAATAACTTAGCAAGACCCTGCCCTAAAATAAAAAGGGCTAGGATGTGGCTCAGTGGTAGAGCATCCCTGAGGGTTCAAAAGACAAAAACAGGGTGAGAGGCCCTCCCACCTTCCGCACTTCTAGCTTTCGTTCTACTTCTTGGCTGTGTGTAGATGTGTCCTAACTGTTGTGCCAAAGAGCCACCATGAGTCAAATGCCAATCACTGTGGAAAGCGGAATGAGTGATCTTTTCCAGGGTGGGTCAGGTGATCCCCCTAGAGTCCTGTAGGAACCGCACAGACTAGGAGCAGGGGACTGGCTCTTTTCCCAAAGGAAAACAAGTGTCCTTAGCAGTCGATGGCAAAATGGAGGGACTGAACCTTGTCTTCAGGGATATGGTAACCCACTATTGGCTGGGATGGCGGTTGGTGGAAATAAGTCATTGGTGATGAAATCTGTGGAGAAGAAAGGACATTGAGGATAGACACTTGATTATTCCAAGGCTCAGAGTTGTGAATTTGCTTTGGCGATTCTGGAAATAGGTAGTGGTTCGTTTGTGTGACCAGAAGGTACAATTCCGGGGTCTATGGTTGGTGGGCAACACTAGAGCTGTGGAATAGGCTGGATTATAGAGAGGGCTCAGGCAGTGGCTGAACCTGCTGCTGACTTGACTTGAGGGAGGAGCCATCTGCCCTTAGATGGCAAGAAGAGGTGGAGACGGAGATCGTTGCTCATTCGCTTCCTTTACCTTGGGTAGGGAGGAGGGCTTTGCTTGATCAGGGGCGGCCTTCTCAGACAGCTCCACTGCACCCAGAGAAGATTGCTTGGGGCTCGCTGAGAGGACTCTCCACCCCTAGGACCCTCTGGGCTGCCCCTGCTACCCGGGTTGTTTGCTGTTGGGAGTCTTCTGCTGCTTTCCAATGCTTCCTGTGTGGCGGGGTTCCTCTGGCGACGGAGACTGAAACATCTTGCTGAGGGTGAGGAGAGGTCCTGCTCCTACCAGGACAGAGGCCCTAGGGGGACAGGAACCCTGGGGTTGCTGCATATTTGCAGTCTCCCCAGGACCAGGTGGGCTCACATGGCATCTCTGATTCCTTTCCCCCTATTTCTCTCAGGCATCTCAGAGAAGACAGAGGCAGGGTAAGTAGGGGCATTTTGCTGTAAAGAAGGCTCTGAGGAAGGCGGTTTGGGGGTGACAGTGGCAGAGGGTCAATCACCCAACTGCCGCCCATACCTCCATCTTGGAAGGTCGGAGGAGGAGAGAGTCAGGAATGAATATGAGGAGAGCCAGTGGACTGGGGACCGGGACACTCAAAGCTCCATGGTGAGTGGGGGTGGCTTGGACCGATCCAATGACGGGGTGACAAACTCTACTGTGAGCTTCAGGTTAATCATTTCCCTTTGTGTAACTGTGGAGTCAGAAAATGGAAAGGACTTTACCTGTTTTTTTTTTGTCTGTTTGTGTGTGTGTGTATGTGTGTGCCTGACAGGCTAGCACGTCAGAAGTAGAGCCATATTACCACTCCATGAAGGACTTCAGCCCTCGGCTGCCTCCCACACTGGAGGAGGGATCTTATCCCCAAGGTGAGTCAGGACCCCATCAGGACCGCCCCCATTCCAAGGTTCTCTGACATCTGGACTGGGTGCCCTGATGACTCTTCCTTCCACTCCAACTCTGGGTTTCACAGGTCTCAAAGATGAGGACATGGCCTTTCCCGGGCACCTGTATGATGAGGTGGAAAGAATGTATGCCCCATCTGGAGCCTGGGGACCCCTGTATGATGAAGTACATATGGTAAGGAGATTTGTGTCACACGCAGTTCAGGCTGGAAACCTGCCTCCTACTGCTTGTATCAGGGTAAATTAGCTGCTGTAACAAAGAGGCCTGGCCCTAATCCAGCGGCCTAAAGAAGACAATCTAGGATTGAAGATGTATCTCAGTGACAGAGCTCTTGCTTAGCATGGGTGAGGGCATAAGTTCAATTCCCAGCACTGCAAAGAAAGCAGGAAGCAGTTTATTTCTTCTCACATGGCTGTCAGAGGTGAGCCCTACTGTAAATGTTTATTCAGAACCCAAGTCAGAACCCAAGTTCTTCCCATTGTGTTCCTCTGCCATCTCCTGGGACATCCATCATCCACATCTATGTGGAAGGGCCAGTTTCAGCTGGAGTGAAAGGAAACACCACCCTGCCTTATGGCCCAGGTCCAGAAATGGTAAACGTCATTTCTGCTCTCATTCCGCCAGGGAAAACAGGGTCCCATTGCTATGCTTCACTGCAAAGGAGGCTGTGAAATGTAGTCTACCTTGGTACATACACTCCTCACTATAGTTCTGCTACTGTGGAAGAACTAAGGGAAGTTTTTCCTTGGGCACTTAGTAATCTCTACCACAATGGTTAAGCAACCAGAGAGAAAGAATTTTTTGGCTCATTTCGCTGAGGAGGGATAGAATTGTCTTCAGGACCAGACAGATCCAGGAGTTTCTCCCTAAAGATTTCCTAGAAAAGCCAGGTTTGTAAACAGTTAGATTAAGAATCTTCAAAGAAAGAGAATGCCTCTTTTCCAAAACTCCCAATGCCCAGTGATGGTATTGATCTAGCTTGGGTCATATCTTCATTGTTGAACCAACCAGGCAGGGGATGGACTGTACCAATTGGACAAGCCTGGATCCGTGTCCACCCATGGGATCAGGGAGTAGAGGCCAACTCAGTTCACCAGATTGAGGGTGGGAGAAGAGAGAGAACCAGAAAGGAAGTAAAGATGGTGTCTAGGTAGATGAAAACAGTAGGCACTATGACCATCCACCCACCCATTGCCCCAAAGTAAGGAAAGTGGGGCAGAAGGCTTGACTGTGTGTGGCCTTGGCTAATGCTCTGGCATTTCTGGGCCAAGGGAGCCCCTTTAACAACGTCCCACTTGGTGCACTGTTTTCTCAGACTGTAGCTCTGTACCAACAAGGAAATGATGTAGAGCCCCCATGGCGCTGTCCATGGTTCTGGACTGTCCGTGCCCGGAAGGCACAGATGAGGGAATCTGCAGACATTTTCTGTAGAGGGTCAGAGAGTAAATATTTTGGGCTTTGTGAGACATAGGATTCTTCAAAACTGCTCAGCTCTGCCACAGTGGGGTTAAAGCCACTCATACATAAAAGAATGGCTGTAGCTATGTTACAATAAAACTTTATTTTTGGACACTGAAATTTGAATTTCATGTCATCTTCATATGCCACAAATATTATTATTCCTTTGATCTTCCCAACAACAATTTATAAATATCAAGCCATTCTTGGCTCTCAGGCAATACAAAAACAGGTGGCAGGCTGTATTTGGCTCATGGGCCAATCTGCTCTAAAGTTTGCTAAACAACTATTTTCTCCCAGCTCTAGAACAGAGCACATCTCTGGCAAGGATAACCCTTCACTGTCTTTTTTTCTCTTTAATTTTGATGGGGGAAGTGTTTTGTAATGCACAGGGCTAACAGAATCATGACCCACATTCCAAAATTGGCATAGCCGATATCACGATCTTTCCAAAGGGTTTGTATTCCTGACATTTAAATTATTTTCCTGCCATGAAATCATGGGATATCTTGAACTTGTTTCAAAATAATCCAGTTGGGTGGAAGTAGAGGGTGAGAGGCAGAGATTTAGATAAATCAAGATGGACCAAGGGATGGTTCTGTGGAAGTTATGTGTTGGGTATGTCATGGTTCATGAGGAGGTTCACTATAATCACTCTTCTGTGTGTAGATTGGATCTTTTCCCTAATTAAGTAGGACTTTTTCCCCTGGGAAGGTGAATAGGGGTGTGTGTCCTCTATAGCTGTGATGATGACCCAAAAAGGATCTCTCCATGGTTCTAATTCTACTTTTTGCCTATTAGGACCCTTATGACCTCCGCTGGTATGAGGACAAGTATGAGAATCCAAGAGGAATCTATGACCAAGTGGCAGAAGACTTGGATGCTTTGAGATCTGATTCTCTACCCTTTGAGCTGAGGGGAGAGCTGGTATGACAGACAGCCTTCTCCGAGTTTTTTCAAGACAGAACACAGGGTGGGGGGATATGTGTAACTGACAGAAGAAGGTTCAAGCTGGTGTCAAAACATAATCAAGGCTCCTTCTGGGCTTAGTTTTAGAAACTCAACTTCTCTCAAGGGGCAGAGTCATTCACGTGACACCTCAACAATGAATAACTATTCTAAGGGTCTTTATGCTTTTTGAAGTAAAAATTCAAAATTAGAAAAGACATATTAGCAACTCATTTTGGGGGTGGGGAGCTGGGATTGTAGCTCAATGGTAAGAGCGCTTGCCTAACATGCATGAGGCACTGGGTTCAATCCCAAGCACCACATACAAATAAATAAAATGAAGGTACAGTGTTCATCTACAACTAAAAAAAAAGAATTTAAACCCTGCTATCTTTAAAAAGAAAGGAAAAAAACTCATTTCAGGGCTGAGGATGTAGCTCAGTGGGAGAATGCCCACCTATTATGTGTGAGGCCCTGGGTTTGAGTCCCAGCATCACCAAAAGCAACAACAACAAAAAACTCAGTTCATTTTGAGTTTCATTACATCTGAAATAGCTAATTATAAGTGGAGTTTATGAACCATGGTTATGTCCTGCCTGTACCTGGCTTATTGTTTTCCACGTATATAAAACATGATGCATAAACTGTAGCACCTGTGTAAGAATAGACTGTCAAAAGGGGGGAAGATGCAAAAGAATACATTCCATATGCTTTCTTTTATAGGAAAAACTGATTTATTGTGCTATGGTTATATAAGAGAGTGCCTTGCTCTTTAGAAGTGTGTGTTCTTCTATATTTAGGGTAAAAGGGTATGGCAGCTTCCGTTTATTCTCAAACAGATGAGAAAAAAATATGCGTATTTACACAGAGATAAAAACAGATGAAACGTGGTAAAATGTTGACATTTGGGGAATCTGGGCAAAGTGTACGTTGGAATTCTTTGTTCTGTTCTTGGAACTTTTCCATAGGTCTGAAATCATGTCAAAATAAAAGTTAAAGTTAAAAAAATTTTGTTGTAAAGCTGCCTAACAATGACAGAGATGCAAAGAAAAGGATGTGAAGCTGGGTGTCACTTGGTTCTGCCCAGCTCTTTCAGTGGTGACGATGGCACACCAATACGAAGGTACTTAATACCACTGAACTGGGTATTTCTAAATGGTTAAGATGGTAAGTTTTCTATTATAGGTGTTTTACCACAATAGAAATTGAAGAGAAATCCAACTAACAAAACACAAAAATGGGCTTTGCATGGACAAAGAATGCGTCCTGAACCATGAATAATGATTAATCCGTTCTGTGTTTCTGAAGGCTCAGAAGGAAAAAAGAAAAGCAAAACAAATATTAAGGCACAACCATGTGCTTGTGAGGGTGAAACTGCCAACCAAAAATGTTTTGACAGTATCTACAAAACCCAAACATATATATGCATATGCCATGACCCACTAGTTACACACCCAACGGAGATACTTCTATATGTGAACAGAGACACTAACTAGTACGTTCAATGGCATTGGCAACTGGAAACAACCCAATTGTCCATTAAAGGAAAATGGAACTCAATTATATATTCATCCAACGGATTCTAGGCAATGAGGATGAATGAACTACTGATATATAGAACAACATGGGCGGATTTTACCAAGATAATAGGGAATCAAAGTCAGACCCAAAGAGAACATGCTGTATGATTTCCACTGCAAACAGGCAAAACTAATCTGTGACATTGAAAGTCAAGAGTAGATATCTTTGGTAAATAGTGACTCCTGTGCCAGGAGAGTTTCTGGGGTGGGGAGTAGTAGATAATGTTATTTATTGACCTGGGAGCTAGCTATATGGGTGTGGTCGCTCTCTGAAAATTTATCATACTGAACACTTGTAATATAGCCATGCTTTTATATGTGTTATATTTTACTTAAAATTGTATATTATATCTCACAGTTGGGATTGTGATTTTCTAATATGGTTAATTAAAAAGGAACAATTGTCGCTCTGTATCATAGTTTCCTTTCAGAAAAGGTCAATATATTATGGTCTCAGTGGGCACCAGGCTTGGGAGGCTGAGGCAGAAAGATTGCAAGTTCAAAGCCAGACCCAGCAAAAACAAGGCACTAAACAACTTAGTGAAACCCTGTGTATAAATAAAACACACACATACAGACACAGACAGACAGACAGACACACACACACAAGAAAGGAAGAAAATCGGCTGGAGACGTGGCTCAGTGGTAGAGTGCCCTGAGTTCAATCCCCAGTACCCCCCACCACACACAGGCACACAAAGAGTCAATATATTTTAACCATACCCCAAATTTTCATGTTTGCATATATGTTATGTTAATAATGTAATTAATATTGTATTTACCTTTTCTTTTTACCAACACGAATGCCTGTAAGGACATTTTCAAGTTGTTCCGGACGCGAAAGCAATACCCAGTTTTCTGGGCCCTGACTTCTGAAAGTGGGTACCGCGCCCTGTGATCAATGTAGCAACTACGAACGGGTGTGCGAATGCCAAACTCTCCCACTAGGGGGCGGCACTGCCCCGTTGAGAAGACTTGACTTGGCCAGCGATCGTGAATCAGCGCGTGCCCATGGGGTTCTGGTGTTCAAGGGCTAGAGGTCTGTGCTGGAGATCAACACTGGTCAGGGAGTGTCCCCTGCGTGTAAGTGGCCACTGAACCCCAATATTAAAGGATAAGTAGCGGTGCAGGCGTCGAGGCCGAGAGGACTCCAGGAGCACAGTGCAGGGAGGGATTTTCCTAAAATTGCTGAAAAATAAAGGGCAAGTCTGGAAGTGTAGGAATTGAGATTGATGAGATGAGCGAGGATCAATCACGTTATCTTAGGGAGTTTGTCCTTTATCTGAGGATGGAAGTCATGTTGCAATAATAATAACAGCATTTATTCCTATTTAGAATCTACTTGTATTTATTCCTGTTTAGAATCTACTTGTATTCATGTAAAACTCTCTAAGCCCCTTGTCCACCAAATGCTAAACATCTATATTTACATCATTCAACAAAAATTAAGTCCTGTGCTAAGTAATATGTATAAATAAATGACAAAGCTAAATGTAATTCCTACCCTCATGATGGCACAGCCCGGTGAGGAGGGAGAGATTAAGTAAGTGCTTACTCAAAGATGAACAAACGTGGGCTGTGGCTGTGGCTCAGAGGTAGAGTGCTCACCCAGCATGTGTGGGGCACTGGGTTCAATCCTCAGCATCACATAAAAATAAAATGAAGATATTGTTTCCACCTATAACTAGAAAATAAATATTTTTTTAAAAAAAGAAGAAGAACGGACATGGCAAGATCTGCAAGGTTGCTTTGGTATTAGAGTGTTCATGGTAGAACGTCCCATCATCTGAGAGGGACCACTGTGTAAGTCAGCGTTCTGTTGCTGTGACCAAAATACCTGACCAGGACAACTCAGAGGAGGAAGAGTTTATTTTGGCTCGTGATTTTAGAGGTTCGATCCATGGTGGGCCAACTCCATTGTTCTGAGTCCAAGAGGAGGCAGAATACCATGGCTGAAGGGTGGAAGATGGGGTGGAAGATGCACCTGCCCAGGGCATCCGCCAACCAGTGACCCAACTCCCCCTTGTACTACATGATGGCAAGGTGTTTTCCCCAAAGGTCTTGGGAAGCTCTGCCCCTTGGTCTTGTCACTTGGAGGGCACTGGCCTCTCTTTTAACCTGTCTCTCTCTGCAGCCAGTCCACATTACTGGCATTTCCTAACTACTGGGGGTCCTGGGGTTCCCACTCCAGCTTTGGCTTCTCCTTTACAGCTTCATGCATCACCCTCTCAGCAAAAGCCTACAGACCCTGCTACCCCTTGCCTGGCTTCCCAGGCCTTCCTTTGAATCCTCAGTGAAAGCCTCCATGAGCCCCTCATTCCAGCCTCACATGGATGATGCCAAGGTCTGCTGCCAGCTCACACATACCTGAGCTCCACGGAATCATGGCTGCAGCGACCTCTGAGTGCTGATGTAGCTCAGCATGGTTAAAAAAAAAAAAAAAACAACTTCCTAGGCCCTGATGTATGAGCAGGCACCCCCATGATCTCCTTTCAAAAGAATTTTCTCTTCTGTATCCTGGAGCCTGTAGTAGATGTGCTCTTGCAAATTCCTGAGATGCCCCCAAGTCAACTTTCCTATTGTCCCTGTGAGAAATACTCAGCATCTCTTTAGGGACTCTAATCTCTTCAATAAGCACAACTTCCTTGGTCCCAGTTTTACAAGCATTTTTTTTCTGGCCAATTTGCAAGTTTAAAAAATCCTTTAGCTCTGTTTTTTGCTCCTTATTCTCACAGTAATCCTGGCCTAAAGCTGCCAGCAACATCCCTGTCACTGACTAAATGCTGTCCTGCCTTGGAATTTCCTCTGCCAGATTAATTAGTCCATCACTTCTAAATGCAGCCTCACACACAGTCTCAGGACGTGGGCAAAAAGTAGCCAAGTCCTTTGCCAGAACAAAGCGTGGGTGGCCTCTTGTCCAATTCCCAACAGAGTCCTCATTTCCCCCTGAGACCTCAGGAGCACAGTCCTCATTCCTGTCACCATTCTGGTCATTTGAGCCCCCCCCAGAATCACCCATTAAGCTCCACTTGCAACATTCTAAAAGTTTTCCAGCTTGCATCTCCCAAGGTTTAAAAGTCCCACAGACTGGCTCCAAAAACTTCTGAACCACATGGTCAGAGGTTAGTGACAGCACCACCCCACTCCCCAGTGCTGATTTCTGTTTGAGTCAGCTTTGGGTCTCTGTGACCAAAAGACTGAGAAGAACAACTTAGAGGAGGAAAAGTTTATTTAGGGCTCTAAGTTTCTGAGGTTTCAGTCCATAGATGACGGACTCCATTGCTCTGGGCCCAAGGTGAGGCAGCGCATGATGGGAAAGGGCATGAGTGGCCTTTCCCAGCCACTCATGCCAGCTCCCGGTGGGGTCGGGAAACAGAGAGAGGGAGGAAGAGGCCGTAGGGAAATTGTACCCTTCCAGAGTAGCTTCTGGTGACCCGCCCCCTTCAGCCATGCCCCACCTGCCCAGAGGTACTGCCCAGTCTATTCAAATGAGGAGGGTCTGACTAGGTTCTGCTCTCAAAATGGAACCACCTCACCTCTGAACATTCCTGGACCAACAGGAACTTTAGGGGGACACCTCGCATCCACACCATAACACTACTTCATTTCTCAGCGCTATTATGTGCTGCCCATAATTGGGGGCTGCAGCCTCTTAGGAACAAATAAGAATGACAGGGAGGGAGGGAGGGAGGGAGGGAGGGAGGGAAGGTAGTTTAGAGATTGCAAGAGGAAATGGGGGGTCAGAAGCAGGAGTCCGATTCTCATATTTGGCCAGAGCCTCTGTGCTTGATTCCCTAGAACGTGGGGCTCCCATGGGAATGTCTTCAGATGAGGGGACAGTGTCCCTTAGATGCCACACTAGACCAAAGTCTCCATCCCCGTTGCCTTGGGACTTGGGGTTCCCATGAGGAATTTTAGGTTACCTCCCACCCACGTTGCCTCCTAAGTACTCGCCCTCTCAGCACCTTCCTGGGCCAGCCCCACACTGGCCCATTCTGATCTGCTTCACCTTCCTCCTGTGCTGCCAGCCTCCATCTCGTCTGTCTCTCTGATCCACTCTATTCTTGGTAGCCAGGGGTAATCTTCCTAATGCCTAAATCCGAGACTTCCTGCCCAGAATCCTCCATGGCTCCCCGGCCTCATCAAGGTAAAGTCAACACTTCATAATGAATCTTTAAGGTCCCCCACAATCCAGCGCAGGAGACTCTTTTGCTTCTGGCTTCTCTCCTCTCCCTGTGTCTCCCTAATCCCTTCCGAAGATGCCCAGCCCTCCAGTGAGAGTACGATGGGGGCTTTGAACCAGTGGTTCGCGCCGTCTCTCTCTCCTGTTGAGTTGGTGCCAGCAGAGGCCTTGGAAGGCTGGCCTGGAGGGCCATTTAATAACCTGGTCGTTAAGAGGTCTGGCACGAGGACCCCAGAGGCAACCTAGTGGTCACCAGTGAAAACCGGCTTAGCAAATTATGGCTGTAGACCAAAACTGGCTTACAGGCATTATAGAGGATGAGGGGACACATTACATGATGTCATAAGGACATAATCAGGTAAATCCAATATGTGGGGCATTCTACAACTTGCATGGGAGCTTTTAAAAAGCAAATATTATTTTTTTAAATGTCAGGAAAACTGAACTCCACCCCAACCCCCCTGCAAAGATAAACTAAAGAAACATAACCAAATGCAAAACATGAACCTGAATTGACTAGTTTAAAAAAAAAAAAAAGGATCACAAAGGCTGAGGGCATAGCTGAGTGGTAGGGCACCTGCCTGGCATGCTCAAAGCCCTGGGTTCAATCCCCAGCACAAAATAATAAATTATTTAATTTCTTCATTTATTTATATTTTGGTACCAGGGATTGAATCCAGGGCACTTTACTATCAAGGCACATTCCCAGCCCTTTTTAAAATATATTTTATTTTAGACACAGGGTCTTACTAAGTTGCTTAAGGTCTCGCTAAGCGGCTGAGGCTGGCTTTGAACTTGTGATCCTCCTGCCTCAGCCTCCTGAGCAGCTGGGATTACAGACATGTACCACCACGCCTGGCTAATTAGTTAATTTTAAACAGCCATTTTAGAGGCAATTGGGGACATTTTTACCATGGGTAAGATATCAGGTGCTAAGGAATTATTGATATTTTCTTATATGTGAGACTCACATTGTGGGTACATAGGAGAACATACTCATTCTTTAGAAACGTATGTTGAGTATTCTGGCCTCTCTGAATTCTATGAGACCTTATAGAGAATCACTGAACCCGAGGTGGTCTTGGGGATCCCCAAACACAGAGGTGATTATGACACATGCCTCCTCAGAAAGACAGATGTCAATGAGATTGTGCATACACAGCCCTTTATGATTACAGCCAGCATTTACAGAACACGTTATGCACCATTAATTATGTATGTCC